TGATGAGGTCTCACGGGACTTGATAGCGTCTCATAAGTTCTCGGTCAAGTCCTTGTATAACAAACTGTCCAAGGGAAGCTCCTTAGACATATCTAGGGGGCTATGGAAGGCCGGGCTTTCGCTCAAGATAAAGATTTTCCTCTGGCAAATGTTCATAAATCGTCTCCCAACGGCTGATAATGTGGACAAGCGCAACGGCCCCTCCGATGGATCCTGTGTAGTGTGTGAGCTCCACGAGCATGTGAACCACACATTATTCCAATGTGCGTTAGCTAAGTTCGTGTGGTGCGCCGTCAGGGACGTGTTCCACCAGAACTGGAACCCTAGGTCAGGGTCGGATCTATTGGCAGTTCTTCAAACCCGGCAAGGGGCTAATGCTAGGTGGTTATGGCGATGCATGGGGGCGTTGCTGTTGTCCCTATGGACAATCCGGAATAAGATGACGATGGAAAAAAAATTCCCTGCTCACCCGGCTGATGTAATTTTCAAATGCCATCTTTTTCTTCAGATGTGGACACCGTTGGGAAAACAACGCGATGCGAAACTCATGAGGGCCACGATGGAGAAGATCTGCAGCAGTATCTCGCGGCTTCAGCACTCGGCTTAAGCTGGATCTTGACTCTTTTGGCATAGGTAGTGTTTTGGGGTGGCAAGGCATGATGCTTAAGTAGGAATTTGGTCGCCCTTGTTGGGTCTCTGTTATTTAAACTCGGTTATGTAATGATCATGTGTCCTTGAGGTTTGGCCGAACTATGTTGATGTGTAAGGTACTCGAACCTTGGGTTGCTGCTTGGTGGCTTCATTAATTTAAAGCCGGACGCGTCTAGCGTCTTCGTTCCAAAAAGGCTCACAAACTTGTAAAGCATGCTTTAAGATTGAGGGTTGGCTGTCATGCTTGGTTAGGCCAGTCGTGTGAACTTTTATTCGTCTCTGAGAACATTGCGATGATTTAATAGAACTTTGCGAGTTTGCCTTAAAAGAAAGAGAAGAAAAAAGCCTATCAGACGGGAGCTCTTGTTCCCCGCGGCGCGCACTGGAAATTCATGTATAGCGCACCTACCGGACAACTTTGGTCCAGTCATGGAGGGGTCCCCAAGTCACAGGCGCCCGTTGAAACTTGTTTTTTTGGTTTTTTATTATTTGCCTTCTTTCTTTTATTATGCTACCAAAATTCATAAAATGTTCATGAACTTCAGAAAATGTTCATGCTTTTGAAAAAATGTACACGCAATTTTTGAAAAAAGAATTTGAAAACATCCTCATAAATTCAAAAAGTGCTCATGAATTTCAAAAGAAGTATAAAATTTGAAAAATGTTCACAGGTTGTAAAAAAATGTTCAAAGTTTTGTAGTAAAATCTGAATTACTGAAAATTTTCATGAATTAAAAAAAAGTTCGAAAATTCCCAGAAATGTTCACCTATTTAAAAAAATGGTTAGAAAAATCAGAAAATGTCTGACAATTTCAAAATTTGTTCCTGAAATTAAAAATTGTTCAGCGATTTGAAAAATGTTCTTGGATTTCAGAAAATATTTGCAGATTTTAAAAATGTTCATGGTTTCAAAAATTGTTCCTGAATTTCATGAAATGTTCTTGTATTTCTAAAAAATAACAGATTTGAAAACTATTTATGATTTGATAAAATTATGAATTTGAAAAGGTTCGTAGACTTGGAAAAAGTTCACTAGTTTGAAAAACTATTTGTGGATTTCAAAATACTATTATAAAAATTAGAAAAATGTTCTCAACTTCTAAAAGTGTTCATGATTTTCAGAAACATGTTGTGATTTTATAAAATGTTCATGATTTCAAAACAAATGTTTACAAAAAAAGGGAAGTAAATAACCCATATAAAACAAAAGAAATAGCGTAGAAAAGACCCGGCATGCCAAGGTTCTAGAACCTTCCCATAATGGGAATAGGGAGTCTCCCGATCTTGCCTACTTGGGCTGGCTCAATATCGAGCGTAGCGGTCACATGGGATATGCAATTGGTCGTTACGCGGCGACCTGCACGGTAAATAGGATCTCCCCTATCAGACCAACAACCAGAATCCCCTAAAAAGCCCTACCGTGGGAAACTCCATTTTGTTCGGGAAACCCCATTGAAGTGTTTGATACGAACAAAGTTTGCACAATGGCACTTTTTTTTTTTTGCATAACGGTATTGCCTAAATTAAAAAAGTACTTCTCAATTCACACAAACATGAAAAAAAAAATCACAAGTACTCCCTCTGTCCCAAAATAAGTGTCTCAAAAACCTTTAGTACAAAGTTGTACTGTAGCTGATACACTTATTTTGGGACAGAGTGAGTATTTCATACCATAGCATTGGTGTAACACGGTGGTGTATCCAGTGGCAGTGGGGATGCCATGGGTGTCATGGCTCCCCCTTCAAAATTGCAAAATTAATTTACTAGGTAACTAAGACTAAATAGCTAACAAATTAATGTTATTACAAGACTATTTATTGAAATTATGATGATATTTGTTAGACTGTATATATAATGTTTTAATATAAATTTTGAATCGTGGCAATGTTGAGGTTCTAGGCCTGCCACTGGTGTAGAAAGAAGATTCCTGCTTCCTTCACCACATCGATGACCCTGTTTGGATACTCTAACTCAGTTAGAGGTTAGAGTTAGATTCATACCCTGAACTAACCCTGAACTAACTCTAATTAAAGAGGTGTTTGGATGGCAGAGTTAGATGGAGCGCGGATACGGCGAGGCACCTTCACGGACGGTGCGAGAGGGAGGGGGAGAGAGGACGAGAAGCCTCGAGGAAGTGGGGAGGGATCTGCTGCGGGGAAAGCGAGAGAGAAAAGTGTTTATTAGTGGTCCCGAGAAGAACTAACCCAAATAAGCACCTCTTGGATGGGTTGGTTTTTTGAATGGGTTAGATGCATCTAACCTAAACTAACCATCTTATTTGCATCTTTTTGGGTTAGTTGACTCTAAACTAACCCAAACTAACTCTAACCCATGGATCCAAACAGAGCCGATAATTCAGAAGACAGCACAACCCACGTCACGGGACAGTGTCTGTATTCAAGCTAGCACAGTGGCTTTTGCTGCTCCTAGATGGATACATATGTAGATGTAGGTACATTAGCACATCACACATTCGAACACGAGCCTCTCCAATTAGAAAAAGGAAGGTACGCAGCCAGGGCAAGAGGGACCTCACGCGACTCACTGATTGTCACAAGCCCAACTCGCAATAAACGGATGACAAGTCCGCAATGACCCTACTGATTTGTGAACCAACCTGTGGTTGGGATGCTTAGAAGGATTGTGGTATCCTCAGCCAACCAGGGTTCAAATCCCGGTGCTCGCATTTATTCCTGGATTTTTTAAGACTTCGTAAATTTCAATATGATATATCGGGTCAGTCTCTTCGAATGTGCTCATAGGGATAGGGTATGCGTGTGTGCCTTCATAAAGATGAGTGTATGCGCCTGTATATGAGCGCTTGCGTCTGTACCGTGTTAAAAAAAGAGACCCTACTGATTCGACGTGTTAACCAACATATATGGACGCACGCCCCCTCAACTAGACGAGACGGGATGCAGAAGACTCCGTCCGTGCACAGGCGCATTGGTGCACACCTCACCTCACACCCCTCGCCTACCTCGCATGATACATTGATACTGATAGTGATAGGTACCGGTCTTCGTACTACGAGTCGATCATATCAGTCATTGCCGAGCTCTCTTCGCGGTCTTCAGGAAGGATGGACATACGCGTACTGGACTTGCTAAACAGAGGCGGACCCCTCGCGCGACAAGGACCGGCGAGTTGGTGACTTTTCTGAGTTGTCGATAGTAGGTAGGAGTAGTAACTTTGTTCAACTCGTCGAGCCGGGCGATCTCGTTTAGGTACAGCCCAAGTCTCCTTTTAATTACTCGTAGACTCCGTCCTCCTCATCAAATTACTTAGACCAGAAGCACAAGCTGACGAACAGCGGACGGGGACACGAGTCCCCGTACTTAGGTGGGCACGGAAGAAATTCACCTGGACGGACGTGGTACGTGCTCCGGCCGTCGCCGGTGAATTCCGGGAAAACACGTGCCGTACCCCGGTACCCGAGCAAGTAGGCGTTTGCGATCACGGGACGAGAGCTCGCCGAACATCGATGACCTATTGTATTGACCTTGGAACGGTCGATCCATTGGAATCAGTCTGGTGATCTGTGCTTTTCAGGCTCCGGGCTCGGGAAGCATGCCGGGGCACACGCCGAGCACGGCACGTCGGGGTCCAAATTAACGGACGAACCTGCGCGCGAAACCAGCGCGCTTGATCTCCCGATCGATTCTCCCGGTGCGGACCCCGCGTCGTGTGCTCGGCCGGCTCACGTCTGTGCTGCTGTCGTGAAGGGCACTACACGCCGCTTTGGCTTCCGTCGACCGTCCTGTTAATGCGACGGAAAATTTAAAAAATTATAAGCATGTTCTGCGAGTGCTTGGAGAGACGTGCGCTCACGCATATTTTTTTTCTTTGTATGTATATAAAGGGTATATACCAGATCCGAATGCCATGTTGTTCGTTGTTGTAACAGAGGCTGAAATACTTTCCAGAGAGTATTACGGTGTTATACACTAGTGATTTCCCCTCAAACAAGATGTATATGGCTGGTCAACGGTCCATGTCAAAAATGCAGTTGCGTCATGCATAAGAAACAATAAGGTCACCATACTCCCTGTTTGCTCCGCAGATTTCGAGAGAATAGTGCTTGAATGCCGACCGGAGCAAATTAGCTCAGCCTCAGCTAACCGCAAAATTGCACTCAGTTTTGTCAGTCGTCAGTTGTCGCACGGTTTCTATACTGCCGGGTGCGGTGTCTTAATCGGCGGATCGATTCTTCCTGTCAGTCTTTCGACGATTTCTCTTATCGATCACATGGGCCAGTGGATCTGCACTAGGGCGGCCAACTTAAGCTTGGCACTATAACTCGTTGCACACTCCGCAGCACGAAGCGCCTCCATTCCATCGACCGAGCCATGACCATGATGAAGGCGCCCACGTCCACCTCCTACCTCATCCTGGCTCCCGTCGCGATCCTGCTCCTCCTCTTCCTGCTCTCCTCACTCAACCGCACCGGCGCCGGCGGCGGCTCCGACGGCCTCGGCGTCCTCTGCGCCCGCCGCGCCGGGACACGCCACCCCACCGCCGAGGCGGCGGAGCCCGAGCTGAGCCTGCTGGTCGGCATCCTGACGATGCCGAAGCGGCGGGAGCGGCGCGACATCGTGCGGCTGGCGTACGCGCTGCAGCCGCCGGCGGCGGGCGCGCGGGTGGACGTGCGCTTCGTCTTCTGCAACGTGACGGACCCGGTGGAGGCGGCGCTGGTGGCGCTGGAGATCATGCACCACTGCGACATCATCGTCCTCGACTGCGCCGAGAACATGAACGACGGCAAGACGTACGCCTACTTCTCGTCCGTGCCGCGGCTGTTCGCGGCCGCGCCCTACGACTACGTGATGAAGACCGACGACGACACGTACCTGCGGGTGGCGGCGCTGGTGGGGGAGCTCCGGCCCCGGCCGCGCGACGACGTGTACCTCGGCTACGGCTACAACATGAGCGGGGACCCGAAGCTGTTCATGCACGGCATGGGGTACGTGCTGTCCTGGGACCTGGCGAGCTGGGTTTCGACGGCGGAGGAGATCCTGGCGCGGAACGACACGCTGGGGCCCGAAGACCTGATGCTCGGCAAATGGCTCAACCTCGCCGGCAAGGGCCGGAACAGGTACGACCTCAAGCCGCGGATGTACGACCTCAGCTGGGACATGGACAACCTGCGGCCGGACAGCGTCGCCGTGCACATGCTCAAGGACAACCGCCGGTGGGCGACCACGCTCCGGTACTTCAACGTCACCGCCGGGATCAAGCCGTCCAAGCTGTACCACCTGCCGTGATCCATCGCTTCTTCTCTTCTTTTCGTTCTTGATTCGTGAGCCGTGTATTCGTCAACTCTGTATATCTAGTTTTTTAGTTGAGATTTCGATCGAACATGCATATTGGCTGTGCGGGAGTACTGCAAGGATGGGAATGCACGTGTTGGCCCGCTCGAAGCCGCCGGGCAAGTGCGGGAGCATCTAGGGCTCAGGGCTTGCTTTTCGATGTTGCTCTCTTGCTGACGGTCGCATGGACCTTGCCGTTCGTGCATTTATTGATCGCGTCACCACGGTCCCCTTGGAGTGCGATTCTGGGATAAACTTTGTTACTAACCTGGTGTATATTCTACTCGCTTTGTTAACCTGGTTATCTGATCGCGTCATGGTGGTCTCCTTTTCCTTTTTCATCAAAAAGCTAATAATGTGGGATCCAGAAGGATCCCATGATCAATACAATAGGCACAAAACAAAATAGATAATGGGGGCGACTATTGGTCAGTTGGCTGAGGATTAACAAATCCTCGGACAATTTTACAAATTTGTTCACAAATACCAAAAAAAGTTCTATCGTATTATAGAGAAAATACGCCGATCGTAATTATCTTGTGCGATTTCGAAACACTTTGAACAATTGCAATCTGAAGGAAATTCACCTCCAGACCCGGAAGTCCACGGGGAACAACGAGCGTGCTGATCCTACGCTATGTAAACTTGATGGATTTTTTCTGCAATGATGATTGGGATCTCAAGTTTGGCACCCATATCCTCCATGTCCTTTCTTCATCACTCCCTGACCATTGCCCGTCATTACTTGCTAACGAGGATGGTCCGAGAAGGCCCAAATCCTTTTGATTTGAGAACCATTGGACCAAGATGTCGGGATTCCAAAAAGTTGTTGTTGATGCTTCGAATGAAGACTCAACCCATGAAGAACCCTGCCAGAGGGTCTTTCATAAGCTAAAGACTACCGGCAACCGGCTGCACTCCTAGAGCAAAACAATTTTCGCCAATGCAAAGCTCTAGTGCAGAACCGGGCTTTAGTGCCGGTTCGTGACGGCCTTTAGTGCCGGTTGACGAACCGGCACTAAAGAGTGGGGACTAAAGCCCCCCCCCCTTTAGTACCGGTTCGTCACGAACCGGCGCTAAAGTGCCACCACGTGGCACGAGCCAGGCCCGTTTGCGTGGAGGGCATTAGTACCGGTTGGTAACACCAACCGGTGCTAAATGTTTTTTAATTTTTCTTTAATTTTGTGTTTTCAATTTAATTTAGTGATTGTTTTACATTATAATGAGTTGTTAAATTATTAGGTGAAAGTATCGCTGATTAGTTTCGACTGGATGCATTATTGGATATCTCTACTAGCTAGCTAGCTAGCTAGAGTATATGCCATATCCATATTATACTTGATCAACTATAATATATACGGATATGGCATATACTTGATCACTTAGATAGGATCCATCCAGCTGAAACTAATCTGCGGTTTCTTTCATTAAATGATATAATAATTAACTAGCTATCTGATCACCACCAGCACTACTAGCTTAAAGAAGAAACATTCACTTGTACCAGAAGCAAAAATATTATCGATCGAGTTCAACATGATTGTCATGATATTATAAGCGTTCATATATAACACCACAAAAGCAAATCACTTAAGTTTAGAACGAAGAACACGGACATGAAAGGACAAGTACTAATTAAGTGCAGCATGAAGAACTAGCTAAATCACTCCTGCTAGCTACTCTCTCTCTGGTAAAATAGCATAGAACATGTATAGCTCTCCTGATTGATCATACTGGAGCATTGCCGATGAACCTGTCTCCTAATCGTGGGCTGCGCTTCTCATTGCTCCCCCTAGTACTTCTCTGCGATCATTAACAATTTTCCTCCAATCTTTCACTATTAAGCATTCATCGCTTCTAGAAATCCTGAATGCATTCATGTGCAATGCAGGATATCTTGGCCGTAAGCTAACAATTGACATCTGACCTTTAGTCTCGATCCCCTGAGGCACAACTGTCATCGGGAGTCCCTGTTGAAGAACATTGTATAGTACTTAATTAATATACTTAGCAATAAAAGTTTAGCAAAAAAATTATGTATGCAAAATATGCACTGAGGACAAATAGTAAATATCTTACCATCATTCCTAAATAGATGTGACCGTAGTTCAATACCATCACTATTGGCCGCACGTTTTGAGTACTAACATTTCTAAGTGCAGGAAGAAAATTTGTCTTGACAGTATGAAGATCTTTAAGCCATGAAACATAATGACTTATCTCCTCGCAGTTTAGTTCAGCTCCGGGACAATAGTAGGTCCTGTCTACCAAGCGCCGGACATGTTTGGTTGAATGGAGATAAGCTGTCAATAGAAATTAGTTGTCAGTTATTTTTGAATAAACAATATCAAAGACAAAAATATAGTTGAGAAGAACTCACATAATGGTAAAACTGGAGGCGTCTGCACATCGACCCATATATCTCTATTACCTTCAATATCATCTTCCAGACGAATCAAAGGTGATAACCATACCAGGCTCAAATGCATAAGCCTTGCATAGTGCTTGCCAAGTTTTGCATTCAAAATAGGTGTACGTGTGTGCATTGTATACTTTGACGTTGAAAGTATAACCATCATGCTCAGTTTTCAGGTAAGCTCTCTATACCTCCATAGTTTCCATATCTTTGAAACCTATCTTATCCAAGACAAAAATTCTTGCATGGCACGGGATGCGCTAGTAGAATAGTGAAAATTAAAAATTATAAGTCAGGCAAATGAAGCATATATATAAGTCATGCTTAATTACGAAAACAGATTTGTCGTTGTGACTTACTGTATCGAATTCGAAAGTCTCATCCAGCTTGATGCTGAATCGCCTACCATCAACAAGGAAATTTCTGTCGCACTGGCCGCACTCGTCTTCACAGTATTCGCACATAGTGAAATTTTTTCCGTCGTCAGACGACATTTTCTATGTTCATATTAGGCGAAACATTAATCACTTATTAATTCAATTAATTCAACTACTTCTATTAAGTCAACTAAGCATTTACTAAAAATAAACTAGTTATATTAATTCAACTAGTTTAAAGCATTTACTAAAAATAAACTAGTTCTATATATATATTAATTCAACTAGTTCAAATAAACATTTACTAAAAATAAACTAGTTATATTAATTCAACTAGTTCAAACTAAGCATATATTAAAAATAAACTAGTTCTATATATTAATTCAACTAGTTCAAACTAAGCATATACTAAAAATAAACTAGTTCTATATATATATATATATATTAATTCAACTAGTTCAACTAAACATTTACTAAAAATAAACTAGTTATATTAATTCAACTAGTTCAAACTAAGCATATGCTAAAAATAAACTAGTTCTATATATTAATTCAACTAGTTAAAACTAAGCATATACTAAAAATAAACTAGTTCTATATATATATATATATATTAATTCAACTAGTTCAACTAAACTTTTACTAAAAATAAACTAGTTATATTAATTCAACTAGTTCAAACTAAGCATATACTAAAAATAAACTAGTTCTATATATTAATTCAACTAGTTCAAACTAAGCATATACTAAAAATAAACTAGTTCTATATGTGTGTGTGTGTGTGTGTGTGTGTCTGTGTGTATGTGTGTGTGTGTGTAGTGTGTGTGTGTGTGTGTATATGTGTGTGTACAC